AAGATACATTAGCAGGTAATCTCAATTGTAAAAAAATACAAAATTCCGATCCAGGATAAACGAAATTAGCAAACAGGCGTTGAACGCTTACATTCTACCAAGTATGAGTGGCATGCCTTTTCATCAGTACATCAATCAAAATTTGCCAATTAGTCAATAATTTAATGTTTTCGGTCTGTACACATCACACATCTGACCTCAGACAGTGACCAGAAAATCACTGAACGATGATCCTTATCAAAAATGTTCCGAGATTTGCTTTTGACCGTATTTCTGGTTTGTTCCCAGGCCAAATGCAGGTAAACTTTCTGGGAGAACTCACAACCGGAGGCTTTGACCAGTCAAAGCCTAGCCCAAAAAGCAGCGGGGTGGTGTATGAAAACCGCAATTCATTGGCAGCCAGCCTACAGTTCATCGATTAGAGAACGAGACTACACCTGGACGTGGTGTGGAGTCCTGGGCACCTCTTCGACCCATCGAGCTAAACAGGATGGCTTTTGTCAACCGAAGATCTGGCCATGCCTGGAAGTTCGAAGGGTAGAGGTCGAACAAAGTCAAGTCTCCTGGTCCTACAGGAAGCCGAGTGGGCTCGTGATTACGACACATTCGTCTAAATTGGGGAGAAGTAATTGATCCAAGTGAATTAGCCTCCATTTCGTTTCGATGCCTTCAAAATCCTTAGTACGGTCGGGGGTGATGTCTAGGGTTGCGGCTGGTCACCCTCCCCTTGCACCTCGCGAAATGCTCCCATATGACCAAGCGTCTCAAATAGCCTCTACTGAGCAAGTCCTTCTCACTGCCATCTCGTGGCGGAGGTTTTCTTACCAAAGTGAGAGGACAAATAGCCGACATCCGGGGCTATAACCGGGTTGATGGACCACTGGCAGTTCACCTAGGGAAGTCGGCCAAAAACCTTGATTCCAAACCAACCATGAGGCGTACGAACCACACCCGCAACTTTCCGGTTGTGGAAACGGTCACCGGCTCAATTGAGCATCGAGCTGTATTGAGAACCTCGGACGTTTGACCCGTCCAAGGGCCATATGATACGATGAACAGGACACCGGCTATCAACGAACCGCTGTCTTGCGGTTCACGCTTTGGTTATCCGAAGGCTACGGTTGTGGATTTCTAAGAAAATCCACCTACCTTGGTCAGGGCAACCTGGCAGTACTTAACCCACATGCAAACCATGGAACGTTTTTTATAAAGATTATTGTAACGCGATTCGCTTTGCAAACAGTCTGAATTCAGACGTATGTGAAACATATAAATATGTATTTCATAATAAGTAGTATAAGAACGAATGGATACAATTTCCCTGGGAGCGGCTAGTAACATCTAACTCACTTACAAAAACGTTGAATCATAGCACTGATTCTCCAATGGACTGACTACAAAAGAGCTGTCCAAAGATCAGGCCGGT